CATGACATCCCTATATGTTGTATGCATGGCTTATGTCGTTTATGTAGCTTTTATAGCTAATATGATTATGTGATTATGTGGATTGTGTGGGGTATGCTTTGGGGAACTCACTAAGCATTAGCTTACAGTTTGTGGATTTGTTTCAGGTTCATCTGACCCTAACGGCAAGGGCAAGGTTTGATGACGCGACGTGCGCTCTCTCTCACGCGTTTTTATGGGACACTCTGATGTTTTGAAATAACATTGTTATTGATATGAATTTGAAAAAAAATGTATTTGAGATTTTATGGTTTATGGAAAGTGTTTTTGGCTATTGAAAAATGAAAATTTTCTTTTGAAAATTGGGTCGTTACATTTTCACTCATTTTACACTTTCGGAGGAGATTACATGCCATGCAAACAAAATACATTTTGGACAATGACTTTACACAAAGGTCCTAGATCTAATATATGATGGATAAAACTTTTAACCTTTGGGTAAGACTCTTACATGCATGTTTATGTTCTATTTATGAAATATATACATACATTCATGTTTTCAAAGAAAACACACAAGTCTCATTCTTTCATATGCACAAGCTTCTAATATTGGATCTATTGTATGATGGATAATATCTTTATCCATTGGATAATATTATTACACATTGGATAAACACAAACTAACATTTTTACCAAAAGTGTAGTTTTGAAAGATTAAAACTTTGTGTTTACACATTGGATAAAACCATTACCCATTGGATAATACCATTATCCACTGGGTAATACTATTATACACTGGGTAACCAACATACATGTAGAACAACACTTTGAACATGGGAAAACTTCAATTTCATTTACAACCTATAATAACATACTTTCGACGGGTTATGTGAGACATTTCTTCAACCATTATGCTAAGACTCGGACCTTATAATCGTTAAATCTTAAGTGAGCGGGATAATTGTGTATAGATCTATATGGGATTGACAACCCCCACCTATGGTTGCTAGCTACAACCACGATCGACGGGTCAAGGGTGACAATTGTCTTAATATTTTCACGACATCCGAAGAAGCATCATGGCGGGCAGCATTACAGTCGATAGCTCGATTATAAGGGCTCACTATAACATCGAATAGTGAAATTCTAGTACAAAACACATTTATAAGTATGGTTATTTACTTATACACTCGATTTTTGGATAATAAAAATCACATGACAAGTCACACTTTCTATAACTTTAGAAGTTATGGGAACTTTTATTTTATTAATGCTTTTGGATACATACTACACACATACATTCTTCTTTTACGCTGAAGGCGTACAAATACAAAACTTTTTACAAGACGGAGATACAATTTTCATCTAAGGAAAAATATCGGATTTTTCTACAACTGAACTCTTATGAACTCACCAACTTTATGTTGACTTTTAAAACGGCATGTAATCTCAGGAAACAATTAAGCTCGGATCAGTGGAGCTACTTTTGAAGACAAAACACCAAATATCATTACGAGAACTACTTTATTTGATAACATGCAAACCTTGTAATGTATTCTGATACTAAGTAACATTTGGGTCATGTAACTGATATAATCATATGATATGATGGTTGTTTATGTACTTGTGATACTATGTTCTCATTCCACCCCCGGACGTTTCTGCCATCCGGTTTGGGGGTGTGACAATGGTGGTGGTGGTGGCGGCGATGATGGCGATAATTGTGGTGGTGGCGGCGGCAACGTGGTGGCGATGATGGCGATAGTTGTGGTGGCGGCGGTATGACGGTGGTGACAAGGTGGCATAGGTGATTGTGGCGGTGACAGGGTAATGGTGGATGTGATGGTAGGTCGGAATTTACAGTAGTGGTGTGTGTGAGAGTGTTTTTGTGGGGGTAGTGCTAGTGGTGGTGTGTGTTTATGGGGGGGGGGATGGAGTGGTTGTATGTGTGTGTGTGTGTGTGTGTTTGTAGGGGGTGGGTGTGGGTGTGTTTGTAGGGGGTAATTGTGGTGTGCGTGTGTGTGTGTGTTTATTTGTGGGGGTGGGGGTGGTTGTGTGTGTGTGTGTTTGTGGGGGGTAGTGGTGGTGGTGTGTGTATTTGTGGGGGTGGGGGTGGGGTTGAGGTGAGCTTAGGGCATCCACAATCCATTGAACTCTACCGAGTTCAATGGATTGACACATCACTACAACATCAACATTTCACTTTTTATTCAACTATACTCTTTAACATCCACACTCCATTAAACTCTACAAAGTTTAATGGATTTCTATATTTTGTTTGAAATTTAATTGGAAAAGAAAAGATTAAATATATTGAACCACTCAATGATCATACAACTCTCTCATTCAACTCTCCTCCATGTCATCACTCACATTCCATTAAACTTCTATTCAATCCTAGTAATCATCTATTCAACTCTGATTAAACCCCCATGATGCTCTTAGGAGTGTGTGGGTTGGGGGTGTTAAGGTGGGGTATGTAGAAGTGTGTAGGGTTGGGGTGGGTGTATGTTTATATTTTTTTAAATTAGAAAAATGTGGAAAAGAATGATTATCGGTTTTCCAAAATTTACTAAGTTCTTTGTAGTTTTAAAAAACGGAAAATTTTTATTTTCCGAGAAAAATCGATGAACTAAACACGTTTTTAAAATTCTCATTTTTCTTGGTATTTTTTTCCAAAAAATGGCCCATTTATCTGTAACTAAATGCACCCTAAGCATCTTATTCTTCTTATACTTGGAACATTTGCTCCATCTAGCCCCAACATCTTTTTCTTAGTCACGAACAATCATCAACATCTTCAGCTTCTACACTACTACAAATAGAGGTATCACTGACGGACAATTCTGCGCTGATCCGTTGCTGAAGGCCATCAACGACGGATTAGCGACGAAATTTGGTAGTCGAAAAAACCTTGTCGCTAATAGTTAGCGACAAATTAGTGACGGATTAGCGAAGTCACAAATTGCTTATGGAACCTCTGGATTTTGTCGTTAATCTGTCGTTGATGTTTGTCGCTAATCCGTCATTGATGAGTTATTTAGCTACAATATAATTTTTTTAAGAAAACTCATAAAACCAAAAATTTTTGTCGTTGATTGCCAATTATATCATTTGTTTTAATATTCTAAATCTATAACCAAAATCTACAAAATAAATCTAATGTATATAATAAATTACAATTAAAACTAAAATCATTTTAAAAGGAAAACAAACCATTAATTGATGATAACATTATACCTTATAAGAGACTTTGCACTAGTTTTCCATCTCGGGTGAATCATTTGGAGTTTATCTTGGTACTAGTAGCAAACCAGAAGGGCAAATACGTCAATTTGACTGTGTAGGGGCGAATATGTCCAGGGCTCTCTCACTAAGATTCTTGTACCTGTAAATAATATACAACTAATAATGATGTCTTAATTTCTAGATTCAAATATATCATATATCAGGATATGCCTAATATATTTAGCCATATTCTTTTATATTGTATGTGCTTCCAAGTTTCTTTTCCCTTATCCCAAGTAAGTATTTGCTGACATCTAGTACCATTTTATAATAAAATTATGTCACTTAAATAGTTAGTTATAAATAAGTTGTAGCAGCACTAAAATATAAAAACTAACAGAATACGAGGGGAGGATTGCAATTATACCTTATTAGGTTCAACTATCTAAACATGGAATAGCATATATCTAATTAAAATCACCCCATCGACAAAAACCAGAAAAAGATTGTAGACAAGTCCAAATATATTGTCCACCAACTGTAGCAACACAACACCATATCTTTTACGCAATAGTGAGTTCAGGTCCCTCCAATCATGATCTAACTAGAGAATAGATTGAAATTAATTGAGATGTAAGGCTAAATGGTCACACCCACACAATTTGCACATGATAGAATGGATATAATCATATATTTGAAACTTCTTACTTTTTCCTCTTGTAGTCATGACATGCTCATCTCTATTTTTTAGATTCATGAGAGCATTTCCTGGAGTAGGTTTATCAACCCAAATGGAGAACCTCCAGAAGAGAAACTCAAGGAAAGCATCAAGCTCAGCTTCGTATTGAAAAACAATCCTGGCTAATCCCAAAAGGATAAGATTTGGTAATTAAATTAAAGATGGAAACAAAAAGAAAAACCTCGACTATGTGATAATATACCTTCATTTCAGAGCAAACCTTGACTAATTGCTCTTTCAACATGGCTGACATCTCAACATCAAGTCTTGCTGTATCCACCTGGTTAACTCTAGATATCACAACTGGAATTGCAGAGTGCAGGGAATTCACCAACAAATCCATTAGGTCGTGTTAAAAATGAGAGGGGCTAAGGAACCTTCAGGGATATGAAAAAAAAAACTTGTTTTCTCCTAGAAAGATGTTGATGAATTTATATGAGGTCTTTGAGCATTAATTTTGTTTCCAGTAACCCAACTAAATAACTCTGAGGTTAATCATTTAGTTCAATATGAGATTCATAATCCTAAACAATGATTTTGCTTCTAACAGCTCAATATATTATCACTCTGATTTTAACTATTTAGTACGACATGAGATTCATGAACATTGATTTCGTTTGGATTGACATGGGAAGAAGAATTAATAGAAAGCAAACTAAAAAAAAAGATGTCCAGTCAATACCTGAGAAGGAGGGGTGAATGATTTTCAGCGCGGTGATAATCTTTCATATGTATTAACCCAAGCTGCTTCGGCTGGTGGGATGACATTTGTTGTCGTCGATGATGAATATGATGCTATCGCTAGGGTTTCTCGCATTTTGTAACCTGAGATCGATCGGCGCCATCTCGATGCGCAATGGAGGATGAGAAAGACGAAGGGCTAAATGTAAAAGAATGTTACATAAGATTTACAGAAGATTTGGGAGGAGAAGTGAGGGAGTCGATTTGGGAAGAGAGGTTGAGGGTGTCGATTTGGGAGAGATGAATGGGGGGAACGAAATAAGTGGGAGGGAAACAAAAAGTTGAACCAAATAAATGGGAGGGAATTAAAAAATCAGCTACCGATTTTTCCCGGATGAAAAGAATCCATTGAATCAACCACATCTGAAATTCAGTATTACACATTAATATAACTTCGGTCGCTAAACCCTTGCAAGTCCATCACTGATTAGCTAGGGATTTTTTGGTGGCTAATTCATCGCTGATACCTCTTTTTCTTGTAGTGCTATTTGAGACCTTCAAGCTTTCTGCAATTTGACAAATTCTAGCCAACATAAGAATCCTTAATGACTCTGCACCAAAGTATCAAGTTCATATTTTAACAGTTACATTATTTGGTTAGAGCATATATTCGTTCCAAGCGCTGCAAAACTTCTTCACTTGAAGGTCTATCCTTAGAATCGGTAGCTACACATCTTAATGCGAGTGCAGCACATTTGAAAGCACCTTTTAGCTGGTAATCTTTCTGTAGACGTGGATCCATTATTTTATCTAGCTTGCTTCTACTTGTTAGGAATGGACCTGCCAGTTCTGCCAAATTTAATTGATAATTAGGCGACCCCCATGCCCCATCACCTGTTAGGGTTACCAGCAATACCACTCCGAAGCTATAGACATCGCTCTTCATAGTCAGATGACCTGTAATTTGTATTTTTTTATGATCACAATATAGAGATTAACCTTTAAATTAATCACTACAAATTGGCATATTTGTTTAACAATCCATGGTTCCGGTGAAAATATATACTTATAGAAAAAACAGTTCAAGGATGGTCTTTTTTCTTCATATTTACATTTCCATATTTATCTAAAATGGGCTCATCCTGAAACTCTGGAAGAATGATTTGTTTTCTTACGAAAAATTAATCGCAAATGTGGTAGAAGTTCACTTGAATAGATATTATTTTGTAGGAGCCTACCTGTCTTTACATACGATGGGTCAACATAACCAATGGTACCCATAACACGTGTAGTAGCATCTAATTTGTGAATTTCAGACCCAAATTTTGCAAACCCAAAATCCCCCAGTTTTGCATTAAAATCCTTGCATAATCAAGAAAAATAATTTGTTAATTTTCATGGCAAAAAAACAAATGCTTGGAAGTGGTTCCTTCACCACTAAAAATCTTCAATAGCTTAAGACTACCTGATCGAGGAATATATTAGAGGGTTTAACATTACGGTGTATCACTTGATAGCTTGACGAATGTATATACGCAAGTGCACGTGCTACTCCTATCAATAATATAAGTCGTCGTCCCCAGGAAAGTGGTGCATCTGCAAAATTGTTCATGTTAGATAAAGTACTTCTAAGTCAAAATAATCCAATAATATATATTACCTTCAAATAAGAAGTGATCAAGATTTCTCTTTTCCATGTACTCGTAAACAAGCAAGTATTCGTGTGGTTTATCATTAGAGTGTCCTAAAAGACTAATAATATTTGGATGAGCCAAACTTCCTAATACGCCTGCCACTGTCTGATCTCACAAAATTTAAAGTTAGTCATTGAAAGGATTTTAATCAACAAAACATTTAGCATTGAGATTTCGCCTATCATATCATACTATTTTTTCATATTTCGACTTCTATGAGCTTCTTTCTTTTTTATATCCGATAAAAATCGTTGTTTTAGACGATCCATTGTTCTATGAAAAAATGACTCATGAGTTGCATTTACAACTTAAAACTAAGATGTTGAAAGAAATACAGGCTTAAGTTCAATCCAATTTAAAGTTTATCATTAGATCCACATTTGTTCATCTGTCACCGGTAACAGCCACAATCTACCTATATGCAATATGGTTGAAAGGTCATGTTCTTTTCCACCTATTGTTAATAATGTTAAATATGCAGCCTTTTCATTAGATTTGAATTTTAAAGACCGGAAAGTTTTGGGCAGACCAATGTTTTCTCTTTTGTTTTTTTGTCTTTATTATTATTATTATTATTATTATTATTATTATTAGTGTTTTTCGGTTGGGCTTGACCTTTTAGGTTTAGGTCAAATTTTCTTGTATATATATACTTATGAACAGCCATATCTGTAACATTGTAGCAGAATAGCTGGAATAAAATCTCTCTCTCTGGTTCGACAGTGGACGTAGCCTATCGCAAGATAATGTGAACCACTTAAATATTGTGTTGTGTTCTGTGTGTTTTGATTTCGTTTCTGATTTCTTGTATTTTACATGTTTGTTTTTCGTTTACCGTTTTTCTTTACCTAACAAATAAATATGTCGTTTTGAGTCACTTTCTTGTAGACAAAAAGAGTAATTTTGAAAGAAATAAAAAGAAACAAAAAAAAATTGCATATTCTCGAGCTTTTCTGGAGAGAACATAAAGGAAGGGTAGATAAATTTTGTATTCTCTCTAAGACATTCTCATAAATGTCGAAACATTTGAATAGAATCGAAAGCATATGATTTATCATCTTTTTTCGAAATAAATTAACTACCTCGGACTTGAATTAACCTATTTACTCTCGATGAATTTGTTATCTTTCTTTTGCCTTCTCCCAGGCACATGATAATAAATAATATATAAGACCTTTCCTAGAACACAAACCGTTTTACCATCTTTTATCCTCGTTTCTTTTTGTTTCACTACAAAGTATAAGGTATACATCTAGAAAGAAATTTTCATGAAGTTCTAGTAATACTTCTGCAACCATACTATGACAATGCTACTTGGAGCTCTCAACAAGACAGAAACTAGGATAGTTTGGCTAATACTTAAGTTAACATGGTGTTTCAGATAATATATTGTATGTGCTACTTCTTGTAAATGATGATTTTGTATTCGGTGTAAGGTTGATGTTGATGTTAATGGTATATAAAGACTCTGGGAGACAAGTCTCTAAGAGAACCTCCAACAAGTTTTATTATATTAATAAGGGAAAATACTGGCTATAGACATTTTTTGGGGTTGAATTCTAAAATATAGACACAAAAAATTGAATTTCCGGGTATATACATGGATTCCGCGGAGGTAGCTCCGAGGGGCTTTATGGAATTCACTGTAGCTCCGCGGAATGACAAAATCATAAATAAATCAGGGTATTAAAAAAAAGCTCAAGATCCATTCCGCGGAGCTACCTTCGAGAAATGAACTCATTCGGCGGAGGTAGCTCCGACGAATGGATCTTCAGAATTTTTTTTTCACATCGATTCTTCGGGGTTTATATTCATTCGCCAACTAATTATTTTCAAGAAAAGATTATGATAGTATAAATTTTTCTTGACAATGTTTGGAATGAATGTGAGGTGGAAAAAAATTGGTCTTTTAATTAGAGATCTTTACATAAAAGAATCATTGGAGGTGATTTTTTTTTCTTTCTGAAGATTCATTCCTCGGAGGTATCTCCGAAGAATGGATCTTGAGTTTCTTTTTTTTAATACCCTGATTTATTTATGATTTTGTTATTCCGTGGAGCTACAGTGCATTCCGCGGAGCACCTCGCAGCTACCTCCGTGGAATCCATGTCTATACTCGGAAATCCAACTTTTTGTGTCTATATTTCTGAATTCAACCCCAAAAAATGTCTATACCCGGTATTTTCCCTATTAATAAATAGTATAAATTGATGTGGATTGATTCTTACTTCATATTCTTGAAGACCTTGACACCTTTTAACAGCAACTGCAATCCCAACACCCTTTGTTGAAGGAACGGATGTGAACTTGTCAACCCAACATAAGAACATAACTCCATTATCTCCCAAGAGAAAGTCTTGACTAAAATTTTTAGTTGCCCTTTGCAGATCAGCAAACTTAAACGCTTTCAAATTCGGAGAAGGATTTGAGGAATATTTGTTGTCAGCTTTTATTGTATCACCAACGTTTGGACTCTTTCCCTTTTTATCACTTGATAATTTTACATCACCATGGGCTGAAACAGAGGAATAAAAAAATATTATATGATTGCTATTGTTACTTTTTCAACACCATATATACTCGGTCAATTATTATTTTTTTCACTAGGTTTTGATGTGACTTGTAAAGTCTCTATAGTACTATTCTTAATTACAATCAATGGATATGTTTAAAATTGTAACTACTTTAGGTAATAGGCTGCATCTCTTCAATTCGTGCACACTTCCTCATAGACTCCAGGAAAGCCGTAGGATTTCGACTAGTATACCCATTTTACATCGTCAGATATTACATTCAACAAAAGGTATATTCCCATAGAATAAGGAAAGCAAGAGTATAGTATACTAAAATACTTTTATTGCACCCACTAGCTTACAGAAGAAGATGAATGTGATGAAGAACATGCATTAGAAGGACTTGTGATGCTAAAACATTGCACATACAACTTCTCAAGCATATCATAGTTGATGACCACAGCTTTCACAAGTAACAGTGTAATTGAGCCTCAAGCATAACGTAGTGCTTGTTTATTACAAATGTGTTGACTCCTAGAGGCTCAATTACACTGTTACTTGTGAAAGTTGGATAGTCAAAAGACCAATAACAGACAGTACTGTAATAAACGACTATATAATTGGTTTCTAGTGTTTTTCTTGTTTTAAAAGTATAATACATGGATTTTTAGAGTTCAGTATATAAGCCATTCTTATCATTCCCACATTATAAAGTAATTCATAATTCTCTTAATGATGATTCATATCAAGACAAGGCTTGAAATACCTTTGATAGTTTGTTCACATCAAATTCTTATATTGATTCAACTTTCCATTACCATTGACTCCATAAAAACAGAAAAGGAATGTAAAAACATGTATTATGTTACAATGTTAGAATGACCTCTTATACGATGTGATCTTGTTCATGTCAATTTCAATAAAATACGGATATGTATAGAAGTCGACCACATGGAAGGGAAGTGTGTATATACTGAATATATAATTAATTTTGAATAAGTTGAAAAAAATCATTGTTACAAAACATTTGTCTGACGATCTAGAGACAGAAAGTATATTTGCTGAACAAAAAAAGTATTTTGTCTAAGTTGAGAAGAGAAGAAGGTAAAAGGCATAAACTTGAAGCTAGTCTTTTTTATAATTTTGCAAGTTATGTCACATAAAAAAGTTTTGCTCTCAAAGTCTGGACAGATATGAACGCCATAAACTATCATTCAGCAATCTTTCCAAAACTACTAACTATAATGTCGATTGACAAATCAACGTCAGTACTCTTTTGTTTTTTGACGTTGGGAGAAAATTTAAAGTATTTGCGTGCATAATTAAATAGGAGCTTGAAATACCAGAGTTCTCTTCGTTGGAGGGAAAGGGCAACAAATCAAGCATTCTTTCATATAATGTTTTTCCGGAAGTCTGCAAGGAATTATTGGTTTTCTCCTGTAATGTTAGTATAGAATCAAGACTGACCACAACCTCAGCCATCGTAGGTCGTTGTTTTGGATTTCCAAGCAAACATCTATCTACCATTCGAATAAACTCCTTCAAACATTTTGTGGATATTTGACCCCTTATATCAGAATCAATTATATTCTTTAGTTTTCCCTCTTTGACAGAATCTTGAGCCCATGTCACTAAACCGCATTGCTCCTCATCAAGACTTCTATCCACTGCACGCTTCCTACACAACACTTCCAACAACACTACCCCAAAAGCATACACATCAGATTTCCTAGTCAACCTTCCAGTTGTGAAATAATTTGGATCGAAATACCCAAAAGTTCCTTTAACAAGTGTGTTGACATATGTAGATGGCTGGTTGGTTGGGCCTATTTTGGACAACCCAAAGTCCGAAATTTTAGCCGCCCCACTTTCATTTAACAAAATATTTGAACTCTTAACATCACGATGTATAACACCCGACTCAATCCCTGTACCTGTATGGAGGTAGTCTAACCCACGTGCAGCACCTATGCAGATCTTGAGTCTCTGAAGCCAAGAAAGAGGGGTACCAAGTTTATGGAGGTGGTCTTCAAGTGTTCCATTGGGCATATACTCATAGATGAGGATCATCTCTTTTTCATAATTACAATAACCAAACAAGGATACAAGATGACAGTGACGCAACTTTGAAAGCATCTCAACTTCAGCCCAAAATTCTACTGCCCCTTGAGTTGACTCAGGATCCAACCGTTTAATAGCAGCAATAACGACACTTGAACCGTTAAGAATGTTGCCTTTGTAAACATTTCCAAAACCTCCGTTCCCAATTACTAATGACTCGTCAAAGTTATTGGTTGCTAACAGAATCTCAGGAAATTCAAACTGACGGCATGGTTGTGATGATTCCATAGAGGAGGAGGTGGAGGCTTGAGATTCCTTCATTGGTCCAGTAGCATCGAACATAATCATTGTTGAAGTAAAAGCAAAAGCAGATTGCAATGGTTGTTTCATAAATGATATTGGAGCTCTATAGTCAACCTATTAAATGGTAGTCTTCTTCCCAGAAAGAGAGATGGACCCCTGCCACATCAGAGACATCTATATTTAATTTGTTTTTTTTAAATGGCAGTTTTGTTCCTACATTACCAGAGGAAAGACAATTTGTGCATAATTTTTTTATAGACAGCAATTTGTTTCCAACATGACATACTCCACAACCTTTGTATACTTATCTTCTGAAAAAGAATAATTGTGTTCCTACATGACCCCGTCTAAGACTAAATATCAATAGACGCCATTTTGTTCCTGCATGGCCCACTCAAGGACATCTATATAATATGTTCAATTATTTGTTTTATAGACTGCAAATTAGTTTCAACCTGACCTCATCAAAGACATTCTGTATTTAATTTGTTTTATAGGCGGCAATTTTGTTTTTAATTGAGCTTATCGATCAAAGACATTTGTATTTAATTTATTTTAGAGACGGCAATTTTGTTTTTAAGTGACTTTACCATGGCAATTGGTGCCTACATGATCCGGATAAAGTCATTTGTATTCATTTGTTTTTTTTTTCTTTAACGAAAAATTAATCTATTTATAATTACCGTTAGGCCAAAACCATTTGTTATTCAGTTGTTTGCTAGACAATAATTTTGTTCATAGATAGACTCAATCAATTCAAAATGGTACCAAGTCCACCAAAGATTTTAAGAATAAACATGATGTGTGATTAACTATATATAAATATCGATGAAATTTTTAAATTCGTAAAACTGATTTTATCGCAGCCATATTATTATACACACTAGACAGCGAACCTAATTGTGTAACAGTATAGTTGTGGTAAACCATATTGTCAAACACTAGGAGAACGATAGTAATATTAGAATGTTTGATTATATGATAAACTTGGCACACACAAAGCAACAAAAATGGGTTTTGATGATAAACTCAGTAGACATAAATCAATAACTAACTAGATAAAGTGATTAGAATCAAACCACTTCAGGTATTTTTGTTTAAACACGGTTACATCTCAAAATCATGGTTAATTACTACAATACAATGGATATTTATTCATTATTCACCGATTCCTATTGTGATTACTTTTTTTTCTGAATCGTATTGTGCATGTTTTGATTTTCATTAATCTTAATGGTCGTAAGAAATAAATCATGTATATAATGATCCTTTAATGAATGTATGCACATTAAGGTTCAAGGATTTATCATCCTAACACTACCATCCGGTAAATCACTACTCATAATTATTTTAATAAAATAAAACAACTGTGATTCAAGAAGACACGGTTGGACTGGTCCTTATAAACGCATAAACTCGGCAATAGGTAATTAATGATCTTTAACACATGTGGATCTTTGTAACATCCGATTTTTCCGAGGCAAATTGGTTTGGAAACGTGCATCTTAAATGAGTGTCACGACATGACACCATGTTGCCCACGATGTGGCAACCATTTTGGGCCAAACCCTATTTTTCGGGCTTTAAACCCTATTTAAAGGAAATGATGGTTAGGGTTTCCTCCACCCTCAGCCTCCATCACCTTCAAACAACTATTTGTCCAAACCCTGGCCCTGTTGAAGCTTTTGTGCTAATTTTGCAAGTTCTTGGTGGTTTTAAAGGAAGAAGAAGAGTTGGTGCCTTGATTCAACAAACAAATCTTTCCTTCACTTGTGTGCATCTCGCAGACTCTTTGTAAGTCCTCATGTTTCCATCTTTTGATTCTTTCCTCTTTATATCTAGGTTTTATGTCATATTTTGGTTCACTTGATGTGGTTGGTATGGTTTGAAGAGATAAAAGTTTGCAACTTTATGGTTTCTCTATGTCCCAAGAGCATTATATCTCATAGATCTAGGAGGTGGTGGTGATTTGGGAACCTTGCATGAATTTTAGGTTATATTGCATCTTTTGGCCTAGATTTGGGAAAGGACATGCATGGGGGTATGCATATCCATAAATTTTGCATTTTTTGTAATCATTTGGGTCCCTAAAGTCCTTTTGGAAGTTTTGAACTAAAGACTTCATGGATTAAGTGGTTAATGGTTAAATCCTATGCACTAAGTTGCCTTTTTGGACCTTAGAATTCAGATCTAGGCTTAGAGGGATGTATTAATGGATAAAGTTGGAAACTTTATCCATACAGACCATGAAAAGAATCATATCTGAGCTTTAGAGCTCATGGGTTCGATGGAAAACGGCTTAACCCTTTAAGTTGTTAGACCCAATTTCCACGACATGACGTTTGGCTGCCACGACGTGGCGACTGGGGAAGACACACGACTATTTTTTCTTTATTAGGCCACGACGTGACCAATAGGAGGTCATGACGTGGTGACCCTATGAAGTCAACTTGGGACAATTGACTTTGATCGCTGACTTTGACATGGGTTGACTTTTGGTCAAATTACTAGTTTGGTAGGTGAACTAAGGTTTCATCTTGTATGGTTGACTAGGTGGTGTTTATCACATGTTCCTCGACTGTATGAGAGCTGTTGGATTTTGACTACATCGAGGTGAGCCTTCTCACTATAATGTAGGATGTTAGGCGGTCTGTGTAACTCTTGCATGATTGTTGGGCGAGGCTTGTTTGTATGTTAGGCGAGGCCCTTTGGGTGAGACTCGTTGTATGTAGGAAAGGCTCGTTATATCTATTGGTCGAGGCCTGTTTGTATGTTGGATTAGGCCCGTTAGGTGAGACTTGTTTGTATGTTGGGCGAGGCATGTTTGTATATTCGGGAACTTATTAAGCTTTGTGCTTATAGTTTTATGTTTAAACGTTTTCAGCTACTTCTGGTTCCAAAAGATCTCGGTATGATTGCATTGCACACCCCGTGATTTTATTTTGCACTATCTTTTTTGTTTTATCGTTGTTGTTTTGAGGATACACCATAACTTTGATTATCGATGATTTGAATGAAAGGATGTTGGGTTTTTGGTTGATTTAAAAACAAAATTTTTGCTGTGACTTTTGTTAAATCTATATGCCCAAGAATCATTGTTGAGTGATATTGATAATAACATATTATCATATAGGGTCATACATTTATCAAGTTGGCACATTTTGTATATTTATTACTATGATTATTAATAAATAATATCAATTCTTGTATTTATTTTGGGAATAATTATTGTTTTGTGAAAATAATAATTAAAGAGAGTATAACTAGTTATTATATCACATGGTATGATTTAATAATTCATGTACAAAGTTTTGGACACTTTGGTTAACCGTGATTAAGTTAATGAGTTAAGATACCATGGTTAATAAACTAGCTAGAAAATTTTTGTCTTCTTTTTAAGCAAGGCCAAAATCATTTTTATAAGAGAAGAGATTGCTTGTCAACTTTGTTCTTATGTCCTCCATGCTTCTAAAAGGCTACCAATATTTTATGTTATTATAATCTAAAGGTATGTATTGCATGGGAGTATAAAAAGATGCATGTGTTTGCATTTTTTGGCTAGTTTTTCTACATGGATAGTAGTTCCATGTAGATTTAAATTACATGGATAGTAGCTCCATGTAGATTTTAATTACAATTACACGTCATAGTTAGAGTACATTATTGTCGGGGAACCACATACTAAGATGCTTAATGTATAGTTCATTTTGACTATGAGTAATCCCATTACACATGTATTGGTATCTAAGTCATATTTAAGCATCTAATTTGTTCTCAATAGTTTTCTCTGTAATGAGTTATATATATATATATATATATATATATATATATATATATATATATATATAACTGAAAATGTTTGTATTCACACAGTTTATACCAATCAAGTTTGTCAAATCTACTTAACATAACTCATTCATTCGCTAAAGTATGAAAGTCAAGTTGGTGCTATAGGGTCGTGTTGATATATGTAGATGTATTTGATTGAAAAATAGTATTTAGATATTGGAACAATATAAGCAACATATATTGTTGTGTTCTATATTAGCATGTTTAATCCTTGAATAACTAGGTTTTTCTAAATGTCCATAGTCATTCATAGTTGTGGGAGCATCTAT